ATATTGTGGAACTGGGGATGGACTTCATCATCCCCGTATGGAAAGAACAATTCTCACTGAACATACCTGGGGATGGAAGAGCAAATAAGACAGCCACAAACTTAGTTAATGGATCAAGAAAAATAATAATTAGAAAAACTCCTTTAATGTATTAGAAACACAATGTGCCCTTTGCCCAAGTTTGATTTTCAACAGATAGATTGCTTCCAGCAATACCATCAGCAGAAACAAAACAAAATGACCCTATTCCACCCATTGCAAGGCCTCAGTAGCTTTCCAGAGCAGCTCTTTAAGGCATACGAATGGAAGGGTGCTCTCCTCATTACAATTCTCTTGACTCAACTGCTTGGCCTATAGGATTTATTTACATTTCTTAAGCGAGAGTTTAGAAAACTGCAACATCATTTAACCCTTCTTTCAGCTGTTTCAGCTATGTTAGATAATCCAAAAATGATGGTTAAAATAAACTGAAAAGGGTTGTATAAACTATCCAGTCCCTACAGGATAGTATATTCATTGTGTTTATGTTTTACAGATGTGGATTTCATTTCACTGGTATACATAATGGATCTATTTTATACACATTTTTGTAAAATTTTACACAAAAATGAAAAATATACACAATTGTCCATTTTTAAAACCCACATTAGCATTTTCTTGAATATGTTAAAATTGAAAGACAGCCAGAGGTATATTGGGTACACAGATCTCTGCAATGGAATTTTTGTTCCCCTTTCTCCAATCCTTGTGGTGATTCTGCTTGCTTGCAGGTTGTAAATGAACTAAGGTAAAGAACATAATGACAGGGTAGCAGGTTGAGGCCACTATAATAATAGCTCTTCTTGCTTCTGTCCATATTATACCCAAAATAACCTAGGAGTGAGATAGAAAGAGAGGAGACTTTATTCTGAGATCGTGTTTTGTTAGTGATTTTATAAAAAGAAAATAATTATATAGAAATTCATAAATAAATCCTGTGCACAACTAAATGAAAGTACAAAACTAGACTGACAGCCCAACTTTTACCAGGAAGCATTGGAAAAGTAAGCTCCACTGAAAGTGTGATTTACTTCCACCTGGGCTAGAGTAAGGTTATTCCTTTAAGCTGAATGTAATTCAGTAAAAGAAGACCCATTTTGAATATTGCTGCCTTGTTCTGAGTGGCAAATTTAGCTTTGAATATTTAGCGTTTCATAGCCAGCCCATGTGTCTTATTTCAGTAAAAAAAAAAATCTGAAATAAATTTTTAAAACTCCACATTGGCATGATGAACTTATGAATGTTTATTTAGGAGTAAGTCCTACTGTATTCAGTGGGACTGAATCTCAATTAACAATATATATGAAATTGAATACTCTAATGCTAACAATATCAGCCAAGTTCAGGACTGTATATATGCTATTAGATCATTTCAAACTGTTACCTGACGACAGTATGACCCCCATACCCATGGGACAGGTACAGTATCTGTAGTTTCATTCATCTATGTTCGACAAAATAAGACTAAGTGGAGGGTGGGGTTGTTAGAGATGCAATATTTGCCTATCCTAGTGAATCCTCTCATATAGTTTGGTGTGGATTTTTGTACACTTTTGACAAAAATAAATTGTAAAGAAAGATGAGTTTGACTTTGTCACAAAAAGTAAGTGTTTCGGTATTGGTGCTATATAAGGAGAAAGAGTCAATGTCCTGATGGCCTATTGAGAGGTTTCACTTCTCTTTGATAAGGGCAGTCCCTGGAGGCACTGGCTTTTCTAGCAGTTCTGAGGGTGGATCCTTGCTTGATCCTGGTACAGCTAGAATCATTTTTGTTTTTGAGGGAAGCATGGGGCATTTAAAAATGGTTGCATTGGCTTCCAGAACATAGGATGTTATGGAAAGTGTTCTCCGATGTATATTGCCTCAGACACCTACTATTATGACTCTGATTGAAGCATTTTAGTGAAAAGCATATACATGTACTGCCCTCTCAGGGCTGTAAGAGGAAAAATACAATAGCCATGCTTTTAAAATCTACTGTAAGAAGTTCTCAGCAAAGAGCCTTGGATGAAATTCTCAATCAATGAGAAACTGTTTGTGGGAGGAGGTGTCTCCAAACTACAAATGTCCAAATGCCAAACCCCTTAATGCTGTAAAGGCCAAGACAAGTGGCTCAGTTTTTGAAGTAAGCCAGGCACACCCCAGGAGCCAACAAAGATATTTTAACATTGCTTCTGTATGATAACTTACATCATACATGTAGAGATCAAGGGACTCTAGAGTCAAGTTTCAAAAGACACATGTACAAAAGGTTGAAAAAAAAGTGATTTCAGAAATCAATCACTGAAGGTGAGCCAGTATTTTAGATGAAGCCAACAGCCTTTACACAAGAAAATTATTGTGATGGATATCTGTGGTAGTTTGAAATATTTCATAAAAACATATTAGTTGCATTTAAAACACACTGAATGGACAATAGTTTTGTCTGAAATGCAGAACCACACAAAAAATGACAGTGGTAGATGCAGATGGGGGATCTGTTTATTTGACAGCAGAAAAGTGAGAATGTAGCCATACATTCTGTATAGAAAAGAAGGTCACCAGAGAATCATTTATGCAATGTAGCTTTTGCCCAGAACTCAGAATTAGAGCAGCTTATATAGTGATTGAGGACTAATAGTGAAGAAGCCGTCAGATTGTGCATATATCATTAATATTAGAGCGAGATAATATTCAGCCCTCCATCTTGAAGATGACACATCTGTCAGTCTGGTATATGTACCCTACAAGCCATATTATTGATAAAACTCTAAACAAAGTAATTGGCATATGATAGAAGCGGCTCATGCAACAGTAGCCTTGGGCTGGAAAGAGCAGGAAAAATGGGAATTTAAAAAATGGCTTGAATATTTAGCAGACTGTATGTTCCAGGATTATATTTTTGAAAGGTGGATGAAATACACACAGGTTGTAAGAAGAATTGGGACTCGAAATGGGGAACTGATGGCTTGAGTAAAAGGAAAAAGAAAATATAAAAAACCAAATCACACTCTCTTCACAATTGATCAATTCAAATAATGCTCGAATTGAAGATACAACTGTTCCCATTGGGCGAAGTGGGGGGGGGGGAGAAAAACTACTGGACACAAGTGGTTGATAGTGGAATTGAGATTATATTGAGTGAAAATGTAAGTGGAATTTCATTATCAAGATTTGTATTACTCTACTTGTGTCTACAATAAATAATAATAAAAATATCCACAGCCAGGCATCAGAGTCATAAAACTCTTCAAGGGATTTTCTACCCTCCTCCTCACCAGTAACTTGCTTCCTGAAGTGGCTACTTCATTCTCCCAGTAGGCAGTGGGTTTTAGGAGTCATGAAAGGACAGAAAATTGTCAATTATGAAAAAATTATTTTAGCTACATCTGAATGAAGCTAACTATGGTGCATTGGAACTTAATGAATAGTCTCAACTAGAATAGCTCATGGATCAGTTGGTAAACAAAGAACCAGCACATAGTAAAGCCCACTGAATTAATTCATTTAGTTGATATTAACTGAGATTTAGACTACGTCACAAAGCATTAATTGTAGTTCTTTTTAATTTTGTAACTTATTTTGTTCCCTGAACAGGTAGAAATCAGGCTACCGAAGCAATAGTTAGCAATCTTAGCAATTGAATTCTACCTGATTCTTTCCACTCAACCACTTGATCTCCTCAATAACAACAACAACAACAACAACTTTATTTTTGTACCCCGCCTCCATCTCCCTGAAGGGACTCTGGGCGGCTTACACATGGCACAAAGTGCCTAAAACAATATATAAAATAAAATAAATACACAATAAAATACAATATAAACCAGTAATATATAAAACAACAATTTGAACTCAAAATAGTTCCCAATAACCTATCATGTCGACTGTCGTAAAAACAAGGTCAACTGTAAACAAGGAGAAGGGAAAGGGATATTGCAAGTTGTAGGTAAGGAATAAGGACATGGGATGAAATTGCTGTGCTGTATCATATTATGATACAGCACAGCACTTGATTTGCTTGTGATGATACCATTTTATTATAGAGATATGACAAGAAAGTTTTTAGCACTCACTCTTCATGGCTGTTCCAGGTTGGAATATAGGACTCTATGTTTTGCTCATCTATCAAGTATGCCTTGAAATCCATTTGTCCTCCGTTTCATATTCACATTTGTTATTTTATATGTATCCATGCTATGTGTATGTGATCTTTGTGCTTGTGTATTTGGCTCACCTTCCAAGTTCTTCACTTTATCCAGTTTCAATAGAGAAAGTACAAGGAACTGCCCATATGGTGATTTCACAACTGTTTGAATTCTCATCCAAAACTTCTTCAGGTGGAAGAATTCCTTTTTTACTTGGTTTTTTTTTTATGGATCTTCTTGTTGTTGTGTTTCTTATATGCAGTTGTTCCACACCAATATTGCACTTTCTACCTGGAAAGTTAGTAGCAAAACAATTGTATAGATTATTCTGTGTAATCAATTTTTTTATGCTTAGAAATGTCATATCTCTTATTTCAATGAACGTTTCTACTTTGACTTTTAACAGCACTTATCTTTCTACTTTTGGCCATGACTCTTCTACCTGCCAGGTTGTTCTTTGTTCTCTTTATATTTCCCAAGATTTCTGTGCACTTTCCTCTTACAATCTTTCTACTTTTATGTGAGATGGGGTTTTCCTCTTCTGTCTTTCCATGTGACAATGTTTTGGGCTTTTAAAAAAGATACATGATGCAGGTTGACACAAATCTGACAAGAAAACCCCCTTCTGTTTTCTTCTTCTGAGCCTTCCTGTGTTCTGTTATCTTCTTCTGTCTCTGTTAATATAGAAATAATCGTCTGTAAAATCTGTCATCCAGTTTTGGAGGCATTTAGAATTATTTTACAACTACTATGTCAGTTCTAGCTCTGCTCACCCTTCCCTAATTAGTAGGAGCTAAGAGACTTATTTAGCATATTCTCTACTTTGTCTTCCAGATCTTTTATAAAGATATAAAACAAAATGGGACCGAATTGCGATCCCTGGATCCCACTGGAAATCTCTCCCCAACTAGATGGACTGCCACTTACGATTACCCTCTTAATACGGTTAGATAGCCAGTTTTTGATCCATTTGATTGTACTAACTGTCCAAGACATCATATGTTGGCCTTCTAACCATAAGAAATTGTATAGCGCTGTATGAAATGCTTTACTAAACCCAGATAAAATATCCATGCATTCTCATAATCCATTATACTGCAAGTCACTTTGAATTATTTTAATATAAAAGCAACTAACAGATTATATATACCCACATTTTGTATGCTGCAATGTCAAAATTTGTGCATTGATGCAGTAGATTTAGTTTGAACCCATTTTCATTAAGTGCTTTCTGCTTTTTGCCTCCTGAACAGACAATTCCTTTGTTTCTTTATTAAAGCAGAGTTTGATTCCAAGGTTCTAGGATGGAGTCACAGTTACATCTTATTCCTAACTCTTAGTAGGAACCATGGCTCCATCTAGACTCTTTTAATCCTTATTATGTTATTACAGATTTACAAGAAGTACCTTGTGGTTGAAAAGTTTCTTTTTGAATGTATTTCTGTTTGTCTTATAATTGTATCAACCTAATTGTGTTCATATGTATGTGTGTGTGTGTGTGTGTGTGTGCGTATGTGTGATAAATCAGTTTCTTGTTTAGTGTAATCTTATCTTTCACTACATTGAGGTTGGCTTCCAGATTTGTTTTGTTTGTATTAATGCATATACATACTGAAAGCCATTTTCAAATCTTTATCTGGATAACTTTTCTCACTACTTGGTCCCCATACCATCTTGGATTTACTTTGCTCCTAATTATAGGAAACTTTGCTTTCCTCAGTATTTTCTCTTAGTTTCCCATGAAGGAGTATACTAGCAGTTATGTCTTTGCATTGCATTTGTCAACATAGCTTCTCTGGGCTTATACCTAGGTAAGAACATCCAGAGCCACCGCCCCCCCCCCCACTCCCCTTTTCAGATTTTTCGTGTATCTTCTTTCTTGCTAGTGTTCTAACTTACTTAGTGCACCATGCATGTTCTAGTTAACTTATCAAAATGCTAAAATAATGAAAATATAACAGCCAAATAAACAATTACATTTGTGTAGTAGTGAGAGATTTAGTAAAAAGTGACAAGAAATCCCCCTCCCAAATATCCATTCTTTACCTTGACTTCACTATGCAGATTTGTGTACATTCAATTATGTTTACACATTTGCAAAATTTCAGTTGTCTGTGCCATACCAAACTTTTAATAGTTTATCATTTAAATTTATGTTTCAGTTGCCATCCTTTTTTTAAAAAGGGGATTGTTATTCTTCAATATAATTGACCAGGTTTTTTTTTTTACATTCACTGCTCATCATTTAAACTAGCTTTTATGAAGAAATTACTTTCCTTAACAAAAAATATTCAAGATACATTAAAAATCAGTATTATCTCTAAAAAGTAGTCTGAATTTCTATGGTTAACATCTACCTATTTTGATAGAATACATTAACATAGAAGTAGAGGTTGTATGTCTCCTAAAAGCTCTTCATTTGGTTGAACAAATGCAAAATAAGAGTATACTTTTTAAATGAACTTTTTAAGGTGATGCAAGCATTACTGTCTTCCTGTGTTCTAGAAACATAGAGAACACACAACTTGAAGTTAAACAAATTGATTTCATTTTACTTAAGAGCACCTACTCCTTTCTTAGACGGTTCTCAAGAGTAGCTTTGCTGTCTAACTTTGGAGATTAACCTCTACTAGGAAAGCTAATATTCTCAATGGCAAATATGCACAGGGATCTAGAGACAGATATAGAAAGTATAAAGTGCACTAAAAGGAAGTATACTAATTTAAGAGGTCTTAGGCAAGATGTTTTAAACAAGATATCTTAGTGAACCTTCATTGGCTTCTGTAAATTAATATGGATGTTTTATGTTTAGATATGATTTTTGATAGGTTACATTTTATTAATTTATAGATTATATTAATTTATAGATACCATGTTATAAATTGTTTTCATATGTAGGGTTATTTTGAGTTATTATGTTTTTAAAAAGGCATTGAATTTTGCCTTTTTTTTGTCTGTTGGAATTTATTTATTTATTATTTATTATTTATTTATTTATTTACCCTGATTCCTCTCGAGTAGATAGGGTGGAATATAAATAAAGTTTTTTTATAAGTAGTATTATTAAGTCGACATACTGACAATAGTTTAGAAGTTATTTTTTAATACAGAATATAACAATCTGCGCAATATTTTCTCTGTTATCCAAGTCCTCTACAGTCAGCATGTCTGCAAATTTGAAATATGTTTCTTGCTTAATGCCGAGTGGCATACAAATGAATTTACCTATCAGAAACTATGACAGGAAAAGGCTTTTCTGGAACATGCCCAGCTCTTAATGGTATGGAGGGATTTAGCTCTATCCATAAAGATTTGGCAGCCACCCTGATCACAAAACCAAAACACAAAAGCCTGTGATTGATTAAATAGGCTGCCTTGGAAGGTGATAGGTTGGCCTTCATTAGAGATTTTTAACAAAAGTTTGTACAGCATGACAGTGCAGTTTCAGCCCCCTGAGATTTTCTGGGGGTTCCCCATAATATCATTTTGTTTGTTTGTTTGTTTTGTTATTCCCCAGTTTTTCTATGGAGCTTTGTTACGGGTAGTAAGAGATTTAGCCTAAGATCTCCTGATATTTTTTCCATCTTTTTTTTTCTTTTGGCCACATCAACAATAGAAACATTTCCTTGGATACCTTCCTAACATTGAACTCAGCCCATAGGCTGAAAGCCCCTGGTGACACAATGGATTAAACCCTTATGCCAGCAGGACAGAAGACCGAAATGTCAGAGGTTTGAATCGGGGAGAGCTCAGATGAGCTCCCTCTGTCAGCTCCAGCACCCCATGAGAGAAGTCTCCCACAAGGATGGTATAAAACATCAAAACATCTGGGTGTCCCCTGGGCAACATCCTTGCAGACAGCCAATTCTCTCACACCAGAAACGACTTGCAGTTTCTCAAGTTGCTCCTTGCATGGGGAAAAAAATAGGCTGAAAGAGGTTCCCCAAAGGTAAAATCAGTTCTCAGATCTGCTTGAATAGTGTATTTCTTGAATTAACAGAGGCATGAGCCAAATGATCTTGGAGTTCCCTTTCAACTCAATAAATTTATACATTCTGGCTAGGGCTGGGCGGTTTCGTTTCGTTAATTCGTAATTCGTTAATAATTCGTTATTTTTTTCAATTACAAAACGATAACGAACCATTCTGGAGCAACTTAAAAACGAAACGAATTTTTCAATTCGTTTGTAAATGCTTCGTATTTCGTTATGTATTCGTTTCGTTATTGGTTTGAGGTCGTTTCGTTATTATTTCCGCATGTCTGGGGCAAGTTTTATAGTTGTTTTTTGTTTAATTAGTGAAAAAAAATAATATCACACCAACAGTCAACAACAGAGGGAGAGGGAAGCTTCAGAAGTTTTGGAGGTTTTTTAGCGTATTGCGGTCGTGTCCGCCATTAACGAATCGATTCGTTATTGTTTCATATTTGTTTCGTTAATGTTTCGTAATTTTTTCAACATTTACGAAGTTTCGTAAATATCGAACTTTTTAAAAGAAAAATTTCGGAATTCTTTTAAATATTGAAACAAAAAAAACCCCCAAATACAAATCGATTTTAGAAACAAATTTTTCCGTTGTTACCCAGGCCTAATTCTGGCAGAAGCTCCTGCCCTTGTCCACCTTCTCTGGCTGGAGAGAAGGTTCAGGAACCATTTGCAAGGTGCTTTGTTAACATTCCCTGGCCAAAAGGAACAGCAGGCAGGAAGAGTGAAGAGGTTAGAGTAAAGCTGTGTGGTTTCAGTCAGCACTCAGTTTGCTGGTTCACCTTTGGTTTGGCTAGGATGGGATGGCAGGTCTCCAGCAGAGTGGAAGAAGACCTTGCGCATCCTCCTTTTTGTGTTGCCATACTCTGCAGCTTTAGTGGCCTGACCATTGTTGGCAGCTGAACAGTAGAAGGAGAATTGCAGCGAGAAGACCACCAAAGGTACAGGGAAGCAAGAGAAAAGAAGGGAGGGCAACACGGTGAGGCTCCACTTTGTCTGGTTCAGGTCTTTTGCTGCAGAAAACCAGCTGTGTCAATTTCTTTAACACTTAGCATGAAATCTACAGCTTCTTGTTAATGTATGCTAAGTGCATTGATGCTAGAAACATTTAGAACAATCCAGGGTTATTGGGAAATATTGGATCTAAGATTTGGTCCACTCCTGTTCCTTGTCATAGAGACAGTGGGGCACCACTTCAGTATCATGAAGGGAGAGGAAATATATCACCAAAAAAGACAGAGCAAGGTTTCAGTATAGTTTTACATCAGGAGAGAAGTACGGTATGGTTTGACAGAAGCACAACACAAAAAACCTTTAGTATTATGTTTTATTGTGTTTGTTTCCTTTGTAGTTGCCCTTTGATAAAGCCATTTGAGAGATATGCTGAACGAAAGAACAGAATAAGCCCAGTAAATATACCATGAAAACCATAAATTACAAGCACACAAAAAACAACATATTGAAAACAGTATTAAGGGGCCATGGTGGTGAGGCGGGTTAAACTGCTAAGCTTCAGAACTTACTGATCAGAAGGTCGGTGGTTCAAATCCCCCAATGGGGTGAACTCTCATTGTTAGCCCCAGTTTCTGCCAACCTAGCAGTTTGAAAACATGCAAATGTGAGTATATCAATAGGTACAGCTTTGGCGGGAAGGTAACGGTGCTTCATGCAGTCAGGCCAACCACATGACCTTGGAGGTGTCCACGGACAACGCCGTCTCTTTTTAAAACATTTCTTTATTGTATTGTTAACAACTATTTGTAATACATTTATCTTTACATTGCTTTAGTTTCAATACATTTTTTCTTTCCACCCCTCCCCCCTCCCCCCGTTGACAAGTTGGTCCGTCTTCATTTTTTCGAGCCATCATTGCATTCTATCTAGGTTTTTTTTCCAATGATCGTCTTCTGATTTAGCTTCTTGTATCCAATTTTTAAAGGGTGACCATATTTCTTTCTGCTTTTCTGTCCATAGCTTTTCATTTCTTATAATGTCCATAATTTCCAATTGTACTTGTTCCCACACATATTCATACCATTTTCCCAGGGTCTATTTCTTTTTTTCTTTTCACCCCCAGGCAATCACAGCATGTGCTGCTCTAAACATCATCATAACTAAGTTTTGTTCATGAGCTTTTATTTTACTGTCCCCACAAATCCCCTTTAAGAGACTCTCCATATTTAATTTTTTTTATTTTTGTATATAATTCAGTTTTCATGAAGATTTGATTCCATGAAGATTTGTGTCTCCTTACATTCCCACCATAGATATGAGTACCAGGCTTCTCTGCTCACAGTGCCACCATTTTGGATTTAGACCTTGGATCATATGTGCCAATTGAATTGGTGTCCTATACCATTTTGTTATTACTTTCTGCTCCAGATCCCTATATTTTTTCTATCTTTATTTTATCTAATCCATTCCTTATTCTATCTATTTTTTCTTTCCCTATGCCTCCTTCCTTTTTCCATCTATATTCCATCCTTTTATACACAAATTCCCTGTCTTCTAACATTCTTCCATATATTTTACCTAACCCTTTTTGCTTTTCACTGGATCTTTCTTTCAATATTCTATCTATTATATTTTCACCCATATTACTTTCTTCCTTTTTTATTTGTTCCCAAATGCCTCTTAATATTAATATTAAGTCTCTTCGGCTTAGATATTGAGATGACCACAATGGGATCACAATGGAAATTGCCCTCTTGTCCCTCCCCCAAATCTCAGTAGATAAGTGCTCTTTGAATCAGATGAATGATCTCTGCATTGGCAAGAACCTAGTGGCAAAGGTAACTGTGATGCCAAGCTGTGCAGGATTTTATAACTTAAAAGGAGCACTTTGGAGTGATCTCCTTAAGTATCTTTGTCTTTGATTCAGAAGATCACCATGCATCTTTTTCCCTTGTGGTTCTAAAACTGAATGTGGTTTGTTTCTTATCCAGATATATTTTTGGTGCTCAAGATATTCCGTAACTCTGAAATAGTAAAATGCACTCAGCCTTCTCCTATGTAAAAATAAGTATTTCAACAACATTAAGATATTGTCAGAAGCTGTGCTCCATACTTTGCAAGTTGTGAGTGCCATTACAAGTAAACGCACACAGTAAACTACAATTTTGTCCACATATGCTACATTGAAGCTGCAGTCCTATATTCTTTAAAAGCATTTTAAAAGCCCATAAGAGCCACTGAACCTAACTGTATATTGCTGTTGTGTAAGACTTTGCTATGAGCCAGTCACTCATAAGCCATTGCTTGCTAGTTCTCTATTAGCATTATGTAAGAATTTGCTATGGATGCAATGTGAGGTGGTAGTTGCAGCAGACATAGCCTGTGGCCTGTTACAGAAAAGGTCACTAGGTAACTTCTCTGTACATTCTGTAGCACCATTCCTGGTGACATCATAAAAAGGTCAAGTCCGCTATGTAGGTCTCTCTGTCCATTGCAATGATCTCAGAATGCCACCTTTAATTTGCACAAGGACAGCATATATGGTTTCAGATATGCCAGCCCACTTACATAATATGAAAGCCTGTCCTCTAAAATGTTCCAAGAGTTAAAAATAGTATGTTTTCACCATGGTGCAATTTTTCTGAGAATGTATTCTGTCTTTTTTAAAGATCTTCTAAACACCAAATTGAATTGCCTTTATTATCTAATATGTTCAGACTATGCAGAAAAATAGAATTGTGTAAGTCTTCATGGGAGCAATGTATGTAAAATCTACCTTACTGTTGGGGCCTAATTATGCGACCCATATTAGAGGATTTTCCAAAGCATCTCTCACTCTGGTGACTTTTGCCAATTTATTTGATAAGTCATTTCATCTTATATAGTGTAATGCAGTATGGGATTTTGTGGCAATGTCGGTAAAGGGTTTCAAAGGTTTGTCTGATAAAATCAGATAATCTGGATTTTATATGGCAGTATAGAAGGGGTCAGAGTATGTTGTTCAGTTCCTGCTGGCTGAACCACTTTGATGCTAATCATCTTTGGCCACCAGCAGATCAAATAGGACCTCTCCAAATTCCACATTTATTACGGCTCACACAAAATAGCCCACGGAAGTAGGCTGAGAAAAGGAAAATAGCTAAGGATAGGACAAGAACTAAGACTCCAACTAGATATAGAAAGAAGAGAGCTGACAGAAATAATCTCCCAGGGGAAATAGAAAAAGAGGAAGACATACCTGCTAAATGAGTGCTACATATAAAAAAATATCTTGGGTTTCCATTGATTAAATGAATCTTCTCTATTGGGACTAGCAGTTGAAATTAGGCCATAATATCATATAACGTATTTTAAGGCCCCTTCTACACTGCCATATAAAATCCAGTTTATCTTCGTGTAGACTCATATAATCCAATTCAAAGAAGGTAGTGTGGATTATCTGCTTTGATAATCTGGATTATATGGCAGTGTAAAAGGGGCCCTTCCACACTGCCCCTTTATCCCAGGATCTGATCCAAGATTATCTGTTTATCCCAACTTATCTCGCAATGGGGAGTCATATATTCCAGTTTAAAACAGACAATCTGGAATAAAGTGCTGTGTGGAAGAGCCCTAAGGTAAATCTAGGGTGCTTCCACACAGCCCTTTATCCCCGGAGATCTGCATTTAAAAATGCGGATTTTCCTGGGTTCCTATCCACACCCATCCCAGAAAGGGTGTCCAGATGTTCTTCTGGAACTTCCTGGGAGAACAACGGGACATGCTGACCCCCTCCCCAAAAGACGCCAAAACCAATGTAAAAAACCCCAAAAGAACTTACCCAGCCTCCATTAGAGGGCTGCCGGAGCTCTCCTGGCACGTACAAATGACCCACCAGTAGAAAGAGGGGCAGGAGCTGTTTTCCTCCTTCTCCCCCCTCCCTCCCCTTTCTCTTGGTATATCATTTGTACATGCCAGGAGAGCTCCGGCAGCCCTCTAATGGAGGCCGGGTAAGTTCTTTTGTTTTTTGTTTTTACATTGGTTTTGGTGTCTTTTGGGAAGAAGGTGATGGGTATTATCACAGTTTTTCAGACTACAGTCCAGACACCAGAAGTAGTGGGTTTATCCCATTCCTTCCAGAAAGGCGTGGAATAAACCTACTATCAAATTAATTTGCCACAAACCATGGTTTTCCTGGTTTGTGGTGAATTAATTTGTGTTTGTCCAGGACAACATCTGGATAGCCCCCTTTTTATTGTGATAACTCCTGCATTAAATGGGCTGTCTAGATGCACCCCTAGTGGGAGCTCTTCATTTCAATGGCAGTGGGGCATTGAATCTGTTCAAGTTTAAGTTGAATTTAAAGAAACTATGTAATCTACTGAGACTTATCCCTCACAACAGAATCAATATCTTGAATAGGCCTTTTAAAATAGGGACTGAATCTTAGATCCAGACTAACTACCTCATAGATACGGAAGACACCAGTCACCAAAGGGTAAGCCTTTTGTAGATGTGAAATGCTGAATTGCAATCATCCCCGACTCCATTGATTTGTGATAACATATCAGACAGTCAGAGAGATTATTGTATCATTGTATCTACAACTATTCTTTTCATGCCCTTGTTTTTAAAAAGAGCTTGGAATGTTTTACCATGCTAATTTAATAGTAATGTACTTTGCAAGGTATTGAATAAAGCTTCAGGAAACCAAAAAGTATTGCTGAATGAAGCTACTAAGCCTCTTCCAACATGAAAATGGTTGTTTTTTTAATTATACAGTTATTTTTACTATTCTGTACATGGGTATTAAAGTTTTACACAGGTCTTAGAAAGCCATCATTTGAGAGTTTTAGATACTGGTTGGAAACCTTTGCTCCAAATACCTCTGGTCTGAACCAGGAAGGTCAGCAGCATCTGTAGCCTCTGGCCAATCGCCTACACCTTATTTTTAGGATCCTCGGTGAATTTCATTGTCATCATTTTTCATGTTGTCATTTAAAGTGACTGTACAACTCTTCCATTATTACTAAATTTAAACTACTGTTTTATGGCATTCATCTTGGACATTTGAGATTTCTTAATTGTTATTTTCTTCACATGTTTATTTTTCCTATTTTTCTGCCCTACAAAATTTCTGTGTTTTCTACCTAAAGTCTGCTTTTCACCATAGAGATCCTTTTTCTATGGCTATTTACAGTATTCCTTTATCACCAAGGGAATTTATTTTTAACTTTGTTCCACTGCCCTTTAAATCTACATGTCGTTTTGCTTTCTCCAAAATAATGTTTACATGTCATGATTTTTTTTGTTTCTTGGTCAATATTGGGCAGTTCTGAAATACATATATATGCATTTCCATCACAAATCCATATCGTTTGTAATGTCAGGGCCAAGACAGCAACAGCACTTCTAACTCTGTCACATATCTCAGCTGATTGTTGGCTCAGACTGCCCCATGCTTTGAATTAACATGCATCGTTTATAATAATAGCCTATAGTGCATTAATTTTAATGAAAGCTAACAGCTGCCTTTTCTCTAAGGAAACTGGTCTTGATTTTATTAACTTACAGGACAGAAGAATAATTGGCACATATCATTGTCCAGAAATGTATTCAACAAAGGTATCTTTTATTGTTTTCTAATGATTTTAGCCTTAGAGACTTAAAAACTGAGTTCATGGACCATTTGTGGCCATTAAAGATCCCATGGCACATTGTAGAAGACCTGGCACCTTATGCCAGGATCCTGTCCATACTCTGATTGTATTATGAATGGTCTTCTGATCTTCTGTACCATCCCCACTATTCACCCACCTTCCCATTCACCCACCACATAGTTTTAATTGGCTACACCATTTTTCATTTCCTGTACGACAATAGAGTGTGTTGTTAGATAGCCACTGCATTTTGCCTAAGAGGTGACTGCACTTGTTGGTGAAGTGATGTCACTTTCAGAAGTCTGTAAAGCGCTTTGGATCCTTCTGGACGAAAGGCGCCCTGCAGAACTGGTGTGTTTTCATTGTTGTATTGTAAGCTTCTCTTTAGTTACAAGCATACATTGTCATTAGGGATGGGTGAACCTGTTTTATTGCAGTGACTCTCCAAACCACCTTTCTAACTTTAAATGCAGAGCATTCCTTTAGGTCAAACACAATCAGGCCAGCGTGACTTGTCACCATTCTACATTCCTGTTTTGGAAATAAACCCTTGCCAACCAAGAGGGGGGAATGTCTGGAAAATTTAGTCGCTTTCTGCTTATTCTACAATAAGACAATTGAAGGTTCATCCATTGCTAATATACTGCTATCAAATAACTGTCAATGTCCCTCTGAAAAAGGTATAGAGACCTCCAGCCTTCTCAAACTGTGGTGTTATCAGACAAGTGTCTGATCACAGCAGAAAACTTCTTAAATAATATGAATGTATTAAATGACACATGTACTCAAAGCTGTTTTCTTTTCCTACTAAATTTTTCAAACATGTTTCCTCCTCATTCAGTTATTCATATTGGGGCGACTGTAATATCATTTTTCCAGCATTCACAGAAGATTCCAAAGCTAGCCATATGACAACTTGAATCTGTCTGATATTCATGCATTCCCCATGCACACACATATTTTAAACAGTCAGACTCAACATATCCTAAATGGCCTCTTGTGAGAGGGTGCATGCATAATCTTCTTCTTTTTAAGTATTTGAAGAAATTTTTATCTGTGGCCAAGCTACACAGTTCTCTTTGCAATGAAGTCTATGGAAGGCTGCATACTGGTTTTGCCTTTGAGGTCTGGGCTTTGTCTGGAAATGGAAAATGAAACTTTTCAAAAAGCTTTGCTATCCAGCTTTTGTTATTCACTCCATCCAACCTATCCACCTCCCCCAGGATTACCCAGTGCTCCCATTTTGCACTTTTGAATGTAACCTGAAAATGTGTTCACATAGTTGTGTCACAAAGCTAACTTCCTTCCTTATAAACTGCTTTTTAAAATTTTAAAAGATTTGCCAAGTGGTAAATTATTTTAATGCTTGATGCCATGAAATACATGTTGAAATTGTCAGTTGTACACTGTGGTGAGGAAGAAAAATCTCATTCCTGCCTGTTTGCTCCCCTTTGGGATTGGCTGGTTGAACTCAGAGCCCATGGATGAAATGGCAGCATCTTGAAAATAAATGAAATGGCTGTGCTGTTAGACACATAAATGTTTGTTATGAGTCTGCAGAAATAAGTATGCTTGGATATTGTTTCATGAGAAGTTGCTGAAGACCTGCTCCAGGCATTCTGATCAGAATTAGGTTAATTCCATTATGGACTCGACCTGAAATGATTCCATTATGGACTCGACCTGAAATGAAACCAGCTTTTAGCATGCAATGTCAGTGGGAACATGGAAGAGATTTTTCAAGCCCCTTCTACCCTGCCATAGAAAATCCAGACTATCTGCTTTGAACTTTATATGGCACTGTAGACTCATATAATCCAGTTCAAAACTGATAATCTGAACTATCCGCTTTGATAATCTGGATTATATGGCAGTGTAGAAAGAGCTTCATTTACAGTGCTATTTCCACACATCAAATTTTCTTTGAAGGCTTCAAGCACACAACCCATACAACTCTCTTTCTCCTGGGTTTCTGTCCCCACATCCTCACACAATCCAGTTTTACCCTTGGGGAATGCTTAGATGCCATCCTGGGTCAACCTTTGGTTGACCTGGAATGGCATTCATCCCCGACAACCCCCCCCCCTCAATACTTACCCAAGGGGCCTGCTGGCAGCATAGCCCCCCCCCCCCCGGTTAAGTTTTTTGGGGAACAATGGGGGCTGCAGGGTAGGGGAACAGTCCTAGGAGTCAATCCCCACAGGCCCCTCACCTGGAAAATTTGGACCTTATCTTAAAGTCCAGATCTTTTTCAGGTGTTTATTTAATGTGCAGTAAACTGAGAAAATCCAGTTTTCTTGGCATTAATTCACGTTTACCTAAGGTGTCATTCGAAAAACTTAGGTAAAAGCGAGACAGGTCCTGTGTTTTGGGCCTATCTGGAAGGGCCTGTAGATTAACATCTGATTTATGCCCACTTCAGGTATCATTTGCTGGATTTACACCCAGCAACAAGTGCAGTTGTGGATAGCTGGTTATATATTCTAAATCTCCCTCACAAGACTGGGACAACAAAGACTGTGTCTGTGTTATTTGAGAAAAGAGACATAGCAGCAATTAAATAATATTGTCCTTCAGTTTTCCCAGCCCCCTATTCAGACATTTGGAGTAAGCTTAAATGCCTAAATAAAGCTTTTTCTAGCCCTGTAGTGAATGAAGAAGCTGGAGATTACTCAATATACCTGTCTTTCCAATCATACAAAGGGATGCTAGTATAGAAAAGAAATAGTTTGAAGAGGTTCCATATACACTCATGTACAAGTCAAGGTTTTGGGCCAAAATTGTGAATTTTTATATGACCTCCACATCGGGCCAGCCACCCCTGGCTGATGCTGCCATATCCCCACTCAAGTCCAGAAGCGGTGCTGTGGCAGAGTGAGTGGGATAGCTTCTTTTGAGTTCTCTCAGCATGGAATAAGCTTCTCTACTCAGAGAAGGGGATGGCTTGTTTTTATAAGAGTGAAGGTACACTACTTACATTGACCTGTGGATCAGTTGATCTAGTTTTTTGGGGTCAATTTTTGACAAAAATTCAAGACTTATACATGAGATGGTAGTTCATTTTGAGCTGTGTGTAGAAATCCATTGTAGAAATTGGTACGTATCTGTTAAATTTTCATCTGATAAAACACCAAGTAAAAGGTGTCACTCAGAAATGTTAAGAAAATTTGCAAAAAATCATATTTAACTTTGTTAATGTTCAGATTATTTTTATATAAAATGTAAAACAAATATTTGTTTGATATTAAATGTATCAACTGAATCAACTTAATATACAAATATGATTTTTCTGATGTGATAATTGGTAACAAATGATAACATATCAAAAATTAGGTTGCCTTAAAATTCCTGTTAAAAAGAAAAAGATTGATGCTTATTTCTAAGTAGCAAAATGGCTACCCCAAATAGGTGATAGCCCTTTTTCAGAGGAGAAAAGTAGAGAAAGAAGCAGGGCATACATATAACAGAGAGCTCAGTGTGACTCCAGTAATTTGCCCTTCAATTATTTAATGGCAGAAAATTAATATCTAATTTTTGTTCACATCACTAATAATACTCCAACCCCATGCTGACCTTTACTGAGATTATTCTCTGACATGAATGCCTGGTTTGTCTTGCCTCTGAAGTACTGCCTAGTGCCACAGCCAGTTTTCTGTTCTGATTTGATGATCCAGTTTGATCTTTGTTCTCCTAAAGTGAGCATTGTTAGCCTGAGCATCACACATTGAAAGAGGCTCTTGTGTATGAAATTGTGTTAGCTTTCTTCCAGTAGAGTGTATTGTATCATTTCATCAAAATGTGACTTCAAAACCCCAATGAAATGAATTGAAAATTGGTATTGCATCCAAATAACAGCCTTGTGCTAAAATACAGGTATCTTTGGGGAAAGTAGCACAGTAACCAGAAGTCAAATATGGTATGTCTCATTCTGCATGATTTTGAGCTCTATAAATGCTGATAAATCTTATCAGAACAGAAATGTAGGCCCACAAAGTGCAGCACTTCATGCAAGAATGTAGTGACAGATTTCCAAGACATCTGCCAGACAAACATGTGGTCACTAATGGTGCCATATTGTGTATTTGCCTGTGCTTTCAAAATACAGGATCCACAAGTACATATATGTATGTTACTTCTCTGTTGACCTGCATTGAGTTTAGTGTCTTAGATCTGGTCTGTCTAATAATTGGCAGGGTTCAATATTTTATTGCACACACTAAGCCAACCTCTTGTGTTTTCCAGATGGATCCGCATGAAAACATTCTGTTGAGCACACTTGAAATTAAAAATGAGATGGCTGCCTCTGAAGCTGTTATAGGCCTTGGGGACCCTAGAAGCACTATGCTGGCCTATGATACCTCAAGTATCCAATACCGGAAGGCTGGTTTACCAAGACACAGCTTTGGCCGTAACGCCCTGGAGCGGCACGTGGCACAAAAGAAAAGCCGGCTACGAAGACGTGCCTCTCAGTTGAAAATTACTATCCCTGACTTGACTGATGTAAATGCCATAGATCGATGGTCCCGCATATTCTTTCCTGTTGTTTTTTCCTTCTTCAATATTGTCTATTGGCTTTATTATGTGAACTAAAAAAAAAACCCGAAGCCACACAGATATCAAGGACTGGATTTCTCTTCAAAATCGGTTGTACAGCCAAATGTGGGACTTGGGGAGAACAAAAACCTATTCAGGACAAAAGTTACTTTAAAACACCTTAGTTGCTGGCCCATTATATAATCTATTTTGTAATGTTTGGGTTTTCTTGCAAATGAGCGAAATATACACATTCTAGTATAAATGACGCAACACAACATTTAAAGTGATAATTGTGTTTGATGTTTGGAGACAGAATTTAAAACTTGAACCTTTATTTTTTTTACATTTTTTTATTTTAGCATCAATATGTTTAAAAGAAAAAAAAGAAGCTATAGAAAAAAAAGGTTTGAGTTCTGATAGCAGCGCTGCATGTCTCTCTTCATATCTGAATATACAAAGCTTAATGGAATGGAGGGAGAATACTAATGTTATAATTCTTACAACCCAAATCATTATCCCAACATTACTTTTTCAGGACATTCACTTGAAAATAAGTAGTGCCTACCATCATACCATGAAAATGAGTTTTCCAAAGTAGATCATGTTACTTATGAGGAGAATGGAAGTATTATGTGAAAGAGAAATCTTGAATTAACAGAGCACAATAGTTGGATAACACTGATCCACAGAGTTGTTGGGGAGATGCCCAAGTATGTGTGCCTCATTTAATGTCTGTGTGTAAAGTGCCAAATGTCAGGGGGCCAGTAGTGATTTCATAGGTGGCTTTCTCTTGGTGCTCTGTCCCTCCGTGTGGGAGAAAAACAGTGGCAAATGTTTTCAGAAGTATTAGTCATGGAAAGGCTACACATATTGTAAAAACAATTGGTATCAGTTTGCCTATTAGTTTATACACTTATGGGTTCTTAATTAGTTTTGATATTATTTCCTTTCCACATCAAAGAGATAGGATAGAACCAAATTTCTGCTGTTTTAACAACATATATATTTCAAAGAAACACTGCCCTTTTAGTACAGAGTTGGGTTGCTTTTTAAATCTAATTTCACTACATTTGATTTTAGAAGTGTTTCTTTTTTATTTGGAAAATATTTGGAAAAAATGCCTAAAAGAGCAGGAGAGAGAGATGGAAAATTTCCTCTATGTACAAAGTCTTAGAATTGCCTGTTCTTTTCTTTTTCTCATGCAACTCAACAATTCCACAGTCCTGAGTCCCTGGGACAAAATCAAGGGGGTTTTAAATAAATATTTAAGATTCTATGTTTTTTTAGAAATTATACAATATCATTTCACCTATTCCAATCAGCTCACTGAAATTTGTGTAGGATTCAGGATAGTCCCTGCTACCCATGTAGAAGAGCTTCTTTTCTGAAGCACAAATCAGTGTGTGATTGTTCCTTTGCACAGTATTTTTGCACAGAGTATTCATGCCTGGATTTTTGATACCACAGATTTGTGGAAGGACTTCCCATGTGCACTTGGGCAGGGTTCGTTTAATAAATCAGAGCATCATTTGTTCCTCTTATGATATTGTCGTCAAGCAGACAAGGAGAATCCTAAAAGGCCCTTTGCTTAGGGTATCTTTTGTGACAAATGAGGTTAGTTGCACTCTATTCATAGTTCATTTCATTTCTTCCTTTGCACAAATAAGCAGCCCATTAATTTGAGAGAAACGATGCTTTATAAATGTGAAAAATATCCATGCTATAAATATTCCCTGGGATTTATAGGCCTCAAAAGAAAGTATTTTGTTGTTTTTCTCTTCTCAAGTTGGTTCAACAGGTCAGCTATAATGAAAACTATTAAATCAGTTCCTAGTACTGCACTTTAAGATATCTGGAGGTTTACAGTATAAGCCATAACATTTTCTGACCTTGCCAATAAGAGGATGATTTTTTTCCAGGAAATTGGGGGGGGGGGGGCACAAAATAAGTGCACAGTCGCCTCCACGAGGTCCTTTTAATTGTTAAGGAGGAACCACTTCCAGAAATAGATGGGATGGCATGCTTCTGAGCTAATTAATTCAACATATTACGAAATGTGTAGACTAAAATAAGATTTTAAGAAGTGAAGGACCATGGTACAAAGCAAAACACAACAAAAGACTGTTTTTCTCCTCTGTAGTGCCAATGCGTGGTAAAGAAAGATAAAAGTATTACATGCTTTATTACAGAAAGGAAATTTAAATAAGCCGTTACCTTTGAATTGAGCAGAATTATGCTCTTGCTTTTTAAAAAAGTTTGAATCACATTTCATGTAATAATTATTCCTTTTTTTCAGGTTTCAGGATGCATACTAGCCAGCAATTAAGGTGTTTTCTCTTCATCTTTGTGAAATTCATGGCAAAATTACAAGTATATAATACGGCACAGTTTTAACAATATCTTTGCAATCAATGCTCTGTAAATATGTTCTGTATATGACTGCTACTAAGTCTAATATGCATTTTCCAAACTGAAAATTCATGCAGCATATTTGTGTTTGCCTAAGGAATGTTATGTTTCTATACTATTGCAGTTTTAATGACTGGGAAGAAAGAACCAAGCAATGTCATTCTGAATATTTTCTGTTATCATCCCCAGAGGGAAGCAAAGTCTTGAACAATAGCACTGAAGGGGACACCTGATAATTTTTATACTCTAATATATTAAAAAAAGAAAAAAGAAACTTAGATTCTGCCAGACAAAAGCACAATGCATAGAATACATGAGAGCAAGTGCATATAGATAGATAAATACATAGATAGATATATCTGGGGAACAAATCCCATTTAAGTTTAGGTAAAATGTACATTAGAAGTACAACTCAATTCTTTCCTTTTTTTAAAAAAAAGTAAACCTGTGTTCCAATTGCATATTTAACAAAGTTAATGTAAGTGAAGAAGGCAAAACACTGAACATTATCAAAGGTTATGGTGAGTATACAGACACATATTTTAATATATGTATGTATATTCCTCTGTGGATATATATGTGTGTGTATGAGTATGTAAGCATGTAATTACACATACATTCACACACATACATACATGCACATATATATGCACACAGAGAGAAAGGCATGCTGGTTCAGTGATAGGAGTCCATGGTGGAAAGGAGTTTCTTCCCATAGATGTGCTACAATAGGGTACAGAGATATTGCTGGGACATTTTCGCAAGATGGGCGCAGGGGATAGTATCCAAATGTTCAGCACTCTTTACAACCTCTCATTGAGTTCTTGGAGTGCAGCCTATACCTTCTGTTGCGTAACTGCAGTGATAGGCATTAAATAAGGAGTGAGTGAGCTTCTGGATGTGGGAGAAGTGGTCAGTGAAGGACTCCAACATGTCTCCACCCCCATCTAAAAGGACTAGAGGTACGGAGGGGGGTTCTTCATGGGGCCAAACTGATCTAGGAAAAGAAGACAATGTAGTCTGAAGTAAGCGTTCAATCTCTAGTCTTGGTCTCCTGAAACATCATCACAACTGAGACTGAGTGACTGCTGCCGTGTTCTCCAGGCCAGCTTTTCCTTTGGTACTGCAAGTATGGGGCCTTCTATGGTGCTTGTGGTTATCTGGATTTGGGCTAGAATCTTACATTGGTGTTTTCAAAGGAATAAGCTAATAACAATTTTGTTTCTATAATCAATTGATATGTGAATATTTTTGAGAAAGCAAAATTATTAATGTATTTAAAATCTTACTATACAGGGTAACCGGGCATTTCTATATCAGCAGATCAATGCATATAATTCTTACGGAGCATTTCACAGTTGACATTTATGATAGTACTGTATCTCCTCGCATCTCAAGGTAGTCTAGCTCTCACATTGCTTGCCTATTTCTTCTCTTTTTTAAAAATAAAAATATTGTCCACTAGTAACTTTTTAAAAGGTCCTAATACCAGGGGTGGGGGAGCAAAAAATATGACTATTTCTATGGGGGGGAAAACAGACAGGAAGGCCAGGGTAAAATACTTTAAAATGTAGTGAACATAACATTTTGCTATCTGTACATAGAACATATAATGTGAGCAATCATAATTTAAACCGAACATGTGTAAATATTATCAGATTTCTTAACATTTTTAACTTCTAATTTGTACTTTAATGTAAGGCAAAAGCTGATTCTATTTATGGTTTAGGTTAGTGTCCTAAAAATAATGTAAATATTTAAATAAGCTGTAAATGAGCAGTCAGTAGAAACAGTAATTGTTCAGTGATTATTATTTTTTTTACTATAATTGCAGTTCTCTATCAGAATAATTTAAACACCCTTTTGCATAAGACTTGGATTCCAGAAATGAATTTTACTGTACCAGTCCATGGAAAATGTGGCATTGTAACACGCAGTATGCAACTGTTATCAGTTTAGCCAGTTCATTTGCACAGTATGTATATGAGGAGGGAGGGGGGAGGGAGGGAAGATAGAGGGGGGCAAGCTACTGAAGATTGTCCATTAGCACATCCACCTAGTGGCTGTGGCACATGTGGAGGCTCAGAGATATGCATGCATTTCAGAGCAGGAGCATGCACTTATAGCATTAGCAGTCCTGAAATCTGTCCATGGAGAAGAAGTCACACTCAAGGCTTTTCTTGGCACTAAAGAAAATGGGGCACCATTCCGATCAACTGGTTTGAACTGTAGCTCCATATAGCCTCCAATTGTCTAATCTAAGATTTTGTAGATACACCTTCTGAAACACAAAAAATGTTGAGGTTAATTTGCACTATGGTCCTCAAAGCACGGAGCTGGTACACTTCCACATTAGTAAGAAGAGGTTAATTAAACATGATGTTCATTTAGATTTGTGGTTCCCAACCTTTGGTCCTCCAAGTGTGTTGGACTTCAAATCCCAGAAATCCCAGCCAGTTTGCCAGCTGTTAGGAATTGTGGGAGCTGAAGTCCAAAACACCTGAAGGACCAAAAATTGGGAACCACTTTAGGTAGGATGAGGGCAACTTGGGACAGTGATACTTCTGACCCCAAGCTGAAGACACCTCTGGACAGAAGGCATACCTCTCCTCTGTGCCCTCAAAATCATCTATGATTTAGCATGGGGAAGGGAAAAGTGTGGGTCTCCATATTTTGTTGGATGAAAACTCCCATTATCCCAATGACTGTGCCAGTTAGATATAATGCGAGTCCCACATCTAAAGGCCAACATTCGTCCAATTCATAGTTGAAGACATGTCTGTTTTGTGTCTGTTCATCATGACACAGAAGGGAAGTTCATATTCCTTATTGTAGGGAAATTGAAGGTGAGGGATCTGGACAACATGGAAAGTAGAAAGACAATGCATGATCTAACATGAGCCTCAGTAGACCGATGCTCATGTGATTGGTTTATATTAAAGAGTTTGTCATAAGCCTTGTGCCCTTTCATCATTCTCCAAAACAAGAGTCATTCAGACAATAAATCTTGAAACTAAAAAGCAGAAATTCAGAAAGATAATGTAAAGCTGTCTATTCCTCTTCAGCCCAGCCCAACCCCAATGCCAAAGAAACTTTACTTTAGAAATGTACTAAAAGGGAACACTATCAAGACACTGCTTAACACCAAAGGTAAAAAAAAAAGTTTAACAAAATGCACTAGGAAACATTTGTCAGAATTTTTGAGGAATAAATGGAATGTCAATGAATCACTACCATGTTCTATCTTACATAAGTTGTATCTCTATTCCATTTTAATTGATTAATGATAAATTGAAATGGATCATCTTTGTAGGTTATATGCAACACATTTCTTATGTGTCAGATTATTTGTTTAAGTGCTTTGCTAATGAATACACATATTCATTTTGAAACGTTGAAAAATCTTAGCTACAGTTTGATATTTGTTTGGGGAGTTAATTTATTTTTCTTAAATGTTTTCCTTGTCACTGAAATGATCTAATTCAGAGTGATCATTTATATGTTTGCATTATTAATGACATTTAAGAAAACTTCAGCAAGAGTTATATTTAAGAACCATTGTATAGTTTCAGTTAGTTAACATAAATTTCCAAGAATTCTATCAATTTGACACATTTAGTTTTCTCATTTTTTTTATTTGCATGGGTGTTTAAATGGTTCTGTTAGTACTGTCTTTGCACCGTTCTTCTTTATCTCTCTTTATCTTTTTTTTACTTAGTACTATTTACTTCATAATGTAGTAATCATCGGCCTTACTAATGACCTTGTAGCCTTTCTAATATGCACATAATGCACATTTTCCAATGACTAGAAAATGCAAAATATTAGTGGATCTCATTGCATCAGATTTTCATGTTTTTCTCAAAAGGACTGCTAACCTCTGGGATAATGGAGGTCGTAAAATGATGATTGTAAATTGAGTAGCACATAAGAGATATTTTCTTGAATCTAAAGTTATTACAGCCAGTTTCAGCATGTAAATATATAATGTTGGCTAGTGTGTAATTCTTAAAACTAAAAAATATAAATAAAGAAAATATAAAATAAGGCTTTTTTTTTCATTTATACCTTGATACTCCAATTAATCCAGCCTCCGGGTGTTTTGAAATAATATTGATCTTACCATGTTGAAGTAAAATTGTGTCTGTGCAGTGTTGATAAAGGGCTGATAATAGTAATACTTCAATGCTGACTTCATGAAGATATTGTATGAAAGGGTATATATACTATGGTGCAACATTTTTTGTTTAAAGTGGGGGTAAAAGTGGCTTCTCTTGAGTGAAATTAGTAGACATTTTCGCTGTTTCTTAAGACAAATCTATTACTTCCAATTTAACTAAAGTAGTAAATTTTATTTACTTCTTTTAAAATGTCCAAATGCCACAAACCAATAAGCAGTAGAAAACATACCCTTTCCCCATTCGCCTTGCTATTTCCATGCCCACAAGAAAGCACAGGTTTCAACCCTCAGCCCATGTGATAGTTCTCTTCCACCATTTGGGGAACCCATGCACTGTAAAAGCAACTTTCAGTTACAGCTGCAAAACTATTCCTAGACTAGTTATTTCTAGTCTAAATGAGAAAGAAATTAGTTACAAGTAATATATTTGTATCTTGTTCCCTTTGAACTCTACTAGAGTTCTTTATATCTTTATGTTAACAGAAGCAAAGTAATAGAAGCAGAAAAAGATATAACGATGCACACAAAAATTGCATATTAAATGGTGATGCTGTGGGAGAAGACAGAAGGAGAAAGATAGAGAGTAACAATGCTCTGAACAAAATATTAAATACCAGAGGGCACATCTAAACTGATCACTTAGGTCAGTGTGTACCCGGATCAGCACCACAGCAGGTAAATACCACATGGAGCTGCTCTGGCTTAATGAGTGGCAAGGCTATCTTAATACAGCCTTGCCCTCAAGGTTAAGCTAAATCAAGAGAAAGCCTGACATTCCCCCAATTTAGGGTCTGTGAAGATAATTGGGTTGGTTCCTAATTGAAACCAGCTGCATTGATCTTCACTGCCATTTTGTTTTCCCTAGGGTCAGGTGGCCCAGGGCCAGGCATGTAGGGGGGGGGGTTGAGGGGCTTCAGCCCCCCCCCCCAAATTCTTATGGTGGTTCGCGAAAAGGCCTTACTGGTGCATTATTTAAACTGTTATGTTTATTCATATCATGATCTGATCACCATACTCAATATATCCCATATGCATGGGGGTATTGGGGTAACGATACAAAAGGTTTGCTAGGCTAGACCCTCTTTCACTCAGACTCAGCCCCCCCAAACCTCAGCCCCCCCACCCCCCCCTGAAAAAAATTCAGCCCCCCCCCCCCGAAACGAAATCCTGGCTACGGGCCTGTCCCCCCCCCCCCCGAAACGTAATCCTGGCTACGGGCCTACCCAGGACAAGGGGTGGCAGTCCCCTGTTGTACCCCCACCCCATATCATGACTTTGCCCCCTCCCAGTTCCTTTCACATGAGAATGCTCTGGCTGAGGACAAGGTAGGTATCATGGCTGGACACAACTATAACATGGGGAGCAGGGGGACTCCTAGGATGGCTGCCTATTGGTGCAGGATCATGCTTGGTGGAGCTCTTTCCTTCCTCTGAGGTGACTAAAGATGCCATGCAGACCTGATCCTGCATCTAGGATGCCAGATAGCGATCATATCAACTGCCAGTGTAGAAGGGCCTTCTGTCAAGAGACAAGCATAACATGGTTGTCTCAGGTGCCACATTTTAGGAAGGAATGCCAAAACGCATGGAAGGAGGAGTGGCCTGGCTGACACAACCTGTCCTACATCCAGCCTGTGGTCTTCATGAGGACGCCCCATTGCTACTGTACCATAATTCAAATCAGCGGACTCAACATCTGTGCTTGAAAAGGTGAAGCACCATTTTGCATCAATCTACCTTGGAGCAGCCTTGTTCTGTGAAGAATTCTAACACACAAGCCCCTATGTGTATAGAAGAAGAAATGCTTGGCAGAGCTTCATAGATCATTTCATTTCTATTATATCCATATGAAAATTTTGAATGAATGTATTTGCTGACTACAGTAACACAACTATGAAATGATTTAGTGACAGACTGCAAAAAAAGGCATAATCACATTAAGAAAGGTTAAGCACCATATTAAATTGTAGTACATCAGGCAATATTTGAGCAGATTTTGACTTTCATGCTAACAAAGATCAAAGAAAGCCAGACCAACATTACATCCAGAAAGGAGAAAAAGAAAATGAAGGAGAAATATGAATGTGGAAAGAACGGTAGACAGATAGATGTTGATCTGTTCCACAAAAGCTAGTGTGACAATTTTCTTCAAGGAGTTCATGCAGAACAAGAATAGATGTTTTCATGCTTCTACTTGTGTGGGAGGTTACACAAATTCTGATGCAAAGAATTTCTTCACTTCAACAGCACATACCCTAAAACAGCCATTCCCATCTTCTGCAACCCAGATTGACTGATAATTGGGGGATGCACTGACCACAAGCATTGATTCAGAGCCGATTTTGAATTTTGGAAAAAAAGCTTTATTATCCTAAGGACTATTCAAAAACCCACCTGACTGCATTTAAACCTGAATCTTTTTGCTTTCTGCCGACTATCTGTTGAAATCAATAAATTGTTTTGGAGGTGGGGAATTGTTTGCAGGCACCATGATCCCTAACGATGGGATTGTGAGGGAGTTATGCCTACCCTGCAGGATTTTGTTTTGTTGCTATGTGTGCAAAAATTAAATTTTGAAACATATTTGAAAGAAAACTGGCAAAAGGTTTTGTGTCTTGGCAAAATAGAATGAAATCTTTTTCTTTTGGAGGATCAAGCTCATAAACATTCTGATAAATAGGAACATCTGCTAGGAGAGAGAAATTTTTAGAATTCTGAAGGGTCTCCTTAAAAAAGAGGTTCCTATCCCTTTTTGGTTTGATAGGCATACTTCCTGAAGGATAAAGGGCAGAATCTATTTTTGTTGAACTAGATCTTGCATTATTATGTGTAACTCTGACAATGGTGCTCCATTATCATAGCTACATCTTCCAATACCATCCATCACCAATCACCCACTTCTTCAACCCAACCAAAGGTTTTCAAAGTCACTGTCAATCAGATTGTTGAGAAAACCTCCTGCAGCCCTCTTGCAATTCTAAAGCACATGGCAAAAAAAAAGTTGCAACAGGACCCTGAGGAGCCTCTCCAGCTCCTTAGTCTTAATGCACTTCACAACTGGGAGAACTGGGAGAACTGGGAAATGTCATTTCCTTGATCTATAGTGTTTTATAGTATAAATATATACTTAGATACTTAGTAAAGGGCCCCCAGTGGTGCAATGGGTTAAACCCTTGTACCGGCAGGACAAGACGCAGGTTCGAATCTGGAGAGTGCAGATGAGCTTCCTCTGTCAGCTCCAGCTCCCCATGCAAGGCCATGAGAGAAGCCTCCCACAAGAATGGTAAAACATCAAAACATCTGGGCGTCCCCTGGGCAATGTCCTTGCAGACAGCCAATTCTCTCACACCAGAAGTGACTTGCAGTTTCTCAAGTTGCTCCTGTCACCAAAAAAAAAAAAAGCACAGGACCTAAAAAGCTATATTATTGAATTGTGGAGATGGACAATGAAGATGTGAAGATGTATAAAGAGACACAAGCAAGAGTGCCAGGATGTGTAACAACATTTCCCAGCCAGTGGTTCAACAGGACCAATGCACATTGGTCTCAGCATCCATCAGGACCATTGTGCATTGATCCCTATGCACATCTGCCACTTTGCTGGCTCCCCTACGTAGTAACATAACTACCCAATTCTGAATACAAACTTTATGGAACTTCCCAATTTTAATCCTGCAGATCTAAGTCCACTTACATTGTCAGAGCTACATCTGATAATGTAGAATCAGAAAAATAAGTCCCCAACAGGATTACAGTCATTATTTATTCCTTTATTTATTTTTGTATGGAAGAAAGCGGCTCTCTCAAATCCCTCCAGTCCTTTGGGAAGCAATTTATATTATAATGCAGTGTGTCATAGAAGTGACCTTAGGCCAAAAAGAATAAAACCTGTGGTGCTTCAGAAGGATAAGCACCGGAATTGGCAGTTAGGAAGAATGCAAAAGAAGTTTGGGGCATCTAAAAGGTTATTTGCACAGTTGACCAGGGTTTGAACAGTGGGCTAGGACTCTGGTAAACCAGGATTCAAATCCCCACTCAGTTGAGATAGAGAGCCGAATCAACCATCTAATGGGATTGGAACCTAGAACTGTCAGTCACAAAACTGTTCCTGCTTGTGTCTTCAATCTGATGTTGCCCTTGCATAGAAAATATTAGGAAGAAATGCAGGGTGTTCAAAATTATCTTTACAATTTTAATTTTATATAGAATTGATATTGTAAAGATAATGTTGGAGCACCATGTATATCAGTCCATGTCTGCATTCATACAAATTCAAACAACTAAAGTTTTTTCAAAAGGGATTTGGATAGAGTCAACTTTAGAAGAACCCTCTTTTGATTCAGATGTCTCTTGATCTTTCCAATTTGTCCAATTTGTCTTGGGTTTCAGCTAAATCTGAACCCATCCTGGGAATTTTAATATCATGGTGATTGTCCTGAGGTAACTCACAGCCTGCCTGGCTTCCAAGACCTCTTCCACACAGCTGAATAAATTCCCACATTTTCTACTTTGAACTGGAACATATGACAGTGTGGACTCAGATGACCAAGTTCAAAGGAGATAGTGTGGGATTTTCTGCCTTGATATTCTGGGTTATGTGGCTATATGGAAGGGCCCCAAGTTAGACCAAGCCTTTATATCCTCTGACATTTTCTGCTTTGGTGGATTAGCACATGTTCCCTCAACCTCCCCATTAACCTGATTCAGTCTGTTATCTGGTCAAATGTGAATCATACCCAATCTGGTGCAACCTACATTTATACCCTGCTCCTCAGGGGTTTTTTTTTTCTCCAACAGTTTTAACCAATCCCAGTTTTGCCTGCAGATCTGAAAGCTCCACAGGCTCTAGCATCCACTCCATATTACTT